GACACAAACACAGACACAGACACAGACACAGACACAGACATTCAGACGCACAGACGCGCAGACACTTCGACACGTAGACGGACAGTCACACAGACACACAGACACACAGACACGCAGACTCAGACACACAGACACACAGACACACAGACTCAGACACACAGACACACAGACACAAGACACACAGACACACAGACACACAGACACACAGACACACAGACACACAGACACACAGAGACACAGAGACACAGAGACACAGAGACACAGAGACACAGAGACACAGAGACACAGAGACACAGAGACACAGACACGCACAAACACACGGAGATACAGAGTTACAGACACACAGAGACACACACGGAGGCAGACACAGACAAGGCAAGCGCGCACGCACGCACGCACACACACACACCTAGGCAGGAGGACAAACATGGACCGAAACTGGAGGTTTGTTGTGGGGGGCATTCGAGTCGGGGTGTGATGTGTTCGGGTGGTACTGTGGAAGCAGTTTTCCGACTCTGACAAAGCGCCGGGGTTTTTGTCCCAATGGTCAGGGTCTGTCCTTGGATATGCCGAGGGGAAGACAAGGACAAACCTCGGTTTAGGGAATAGGGAATAACCCGTCACAGGCCCCATAGCTTCCCCCCCAAAAGCTTCCCCCTACAGCTTCCCCCCATAGCCTTTTGGAGGTTGAAATGTCTTCTCTCAGGGCGCAGCGCCTCAAGAAGGATGCCTGCGAAGGTGGGAGTATGAGGGGAGAGGCGTTCGGCATGTTTGGGTAGATGTGCTGCAACTGCAACCCTTAATTCACGGGCACAAAGGGGAGCCTGAACACAAGGTTTTGGTTGGCCCCCCCTTTTCATTGGGCAGGAAAGCACAACCCCGGCCCATATGAACCCATTTGTTGGGTACGGAGGGTGGGAATTCTTTTTACCTGGGGCCGGGAGGCCACTCTACCGGTACGCTTGGATGTATCATTTTTGGGGTCAAAGCGCGACCAAGAGGAGACCGCCCAGTTTTAGGGGCCTAGTTTCGAGACAGCCTCATTTGTTGATCCACGGTGGGTTGGGCAAAGGCAAGGCAAGGGCTTTCTGTGGGGAGAGGCGAATACAAGGCTGCTGGCCGGGGTTGAGCAACGTGTGTTTAAACAACCAGACCCTGCGCCCCTTACAAGGAAAAAACAAGAGGAGTTTGCGTGAATCAGAATAGTGTTTCAACATGTTTAAACAAAGGGTGGGTCCAACCTTACCATGGTTTGCTGTGGAGGCATCCTCCTGTTCAAAGTTCACTTTCTGAACCCGACCTGTGGATTGTTTAACATGAGAAGCACCTTGCTGGATGAAGCAAATGCGTGCTACAGCTGCCTTCAGCTCCGTGTTCGTGCCAAAACTCATGAAGAAGCAGCACTTGCAGCGTCTTTCTGACATAGCCCAGATTCCAGGCCTGACTAAGACGATAGCCTCAGGTGTTCAGGGCACTTGTTGGAACATGAAGCAGGTGGCGAAGATGACCACCTGGACTCAAGGTTAATCACTATGAGTACAAGAAACAAAAAACCGGCAAGTGGTGATTCAGCTTCTTGTGTTGATTGCAACGAAGAGACGTGTGTTGTTCATGATTCTCGGAAGAGAGCAGCACCACAACTTTGACGCAGGCCGTACCCAGCTGGTCTCTACCCGAGCCGTGGCGGGGGTCTTAGGCATGGTGGGTTGGGTGGAGCCGAGTTGGCAGGCGTGGGACACCGTTGTTTTTTTGGCATCCCTTTGGCCTGCCGCTTGAGAAGCCAAGGGAGCATATGGGGGTTGATCAATATTCCTGGCCCCGAAATGACCATGGGTATCTTTTCCCATTCAGTGGGACATCGCTTCTTTTCAGTGGTTTTCCCCACCAATGGGCATCCTGTCTAGAGCGAAAACAGCTTTTATATACATTGCTTTCACCCTGGACCCTCAAGGAGCCTTGGCCGGCTCCACGGCGCGATCGATTTTTCGAAGGACCACAAGGCGAGTTTTCAGTTGCGCCCTGGTCAGAACCTGTTGGAGTCTCCCAACCTGTTGGAGTCCAGCTGTAGTTAACACAAGCGCCACGTGAATCTCGGAGGCAAGTTCCGCCAGACGGGTCTCACATTCCAACCTGGCAGTATGGACTGGCTGTTCCGAACATGTGTTGGGAAAGGGATTGTGGCCGTCCTGCTTTGGTTGGTGTTTACACCCTCAAGCATGGACGAACACGGATCCAGCCTCTGCTGCCGAAAGGATCCGCATTGAACTTCGTGCCAAGTTCGCTTAGGTGGAAAGCCTGCAAGCCAAGAAGCGGAGGCGTGCCGGAGTTTTTCAGAGTTCACTCTCGGATTTCCTGGACTTTGGACCTTTAGCAATTAAGTCGCAAAGCGTCTGGACTTTTCCTGAGCAAAGCACTCAAGTGAGAGAACAGAAGTTTGGGGAACATATTTCGACCGAGGCTTACGTTTTTGTCAGTTAGGATGCCCACTGTAGTTTCCCTTCAAGCCCCAAACGGGTCCCCTTGTTGGCATTGGGGTTGGCGTGTTTGTGTGTTTTTTCTCCACCTGCAAAATGATGTTTGTGTGTGTGTGTGTTTTTCCACCTGCAACATGGAGTACAGGCACGCATTCTAAAGTGCTTTGCCGTCGCATTCCACTGGCTGCTTCACTGGGAAGCCAGCTTTGTGTGTCAACCCGTTTGCAACTTGCAGTGGTGGTCATTCCCTTGCAGCACGGCCCAGAGCCATGTTGGATTGGCCATGGAGCTTGCAAGCGTAGGTTCAGATCGGACACAACTGAGCTTCTCCTTTGGTACTCCAAGAAAAAGCCATTATCCCACGCACAAACGATGTTATTATCCGCAACGCTTCTCCAGAAGTGCTCCAAGCCCACGAATACCACAGAAAAGCCAATAGCGAACTATTGATGCCCAATCAATATGCAGTCTTGAAGCCAGAAATCGCCGACCCGAGCGCCTGACAGGCGCAGTATTGCCTGAGACCTGAAGCTACCGACAGTGGTGTTGCTCCCACCCCCTGAAGATAGTGTTGTGTTCGCTACCGAGCAATACTACCCCAGAACCGCATTCAGAGTATTGAGCCCTTAAAGTGTGTTGCAAAGAACCATCAAAAAGGCATTATGTTCCTAAGCGACCTCCTTCTCCGAAGAGTATGGTTCCCGCCATTGGATTGCAAGAGAAATTGGCCTTCTGCTTTTCAGCGACAAAGAAAGCAACGCAAGAGGACCAGTGTATAAGTTTCTCAGAATGGGCGATGTGAGTTTATTCAAGTACAAGTTGGATTTATAATATATACATATATATGTGTATATATATATATTATCTAACGGACAGTGTCATATTTTTTGGATGGGTGACGACGGGGTGGCGACGGGGTAAGGACAGAGCCACGACGGACGATGGCGGGGCGACGACGGGGTGACGACGGGGTGACGACGGGGTGACGACGGAGCGACGACGGAGCGACGACGGAGCGACGACGGAGCGACGACGGAGCGACGGCAGGGCAAGGACGGGGTGGCAGCGGGGCGTGCCAAAAACATAAGGTCCTTATTTTTGGCGCTCCCCGCCGCCACCTCGTCGTCGCCCCACCGTCGGTCCGTCGTTGGTCCGCTGTCGGTCCGTCGCCGCTCCGTCGTCGCCCCGTCGTCGCTCCGCCGTCGCTCCGTCGTCGGCTTGTCGTCGATCCGCCGTCTTGCTGCCGCCAGCCTGGTGTCGTCCGTTGCCACTTCGACCGCCCATGTCATTTTAGGCCGTCGCGGCCCGTCGTACCACTTTTGACCTATTAACTAACACATGTCTTTTGAAACTAGATAATGTATATATATATATATACATTATTTGATGGTCATCAGGGAGGGGCTCGCTGATCGCTGGAATCGGGAGATCACAAGGTGCTTGCTGATCATTCCCCTTGCCTTTGCCAGAAAATTCCGACACACTGTTTCCCAGCGTCATGGCTTCCAGCGCAGCACATGCTGCACTGAGCTGATGCGTGGTTTACTCTTCCCCTGCGGATGAAGATGGAGCCCCCAGGCAGGGTCCCCAAAAAGGAGGTTCTTCTACTACTTGCATTTGCTTAAGAACATGTTTATAGTTTCCCCTGTTTGTTTTAAAGGGAATCTATATCTACTGGAAATGTGTCTATTTTTTCCAGGGGTCTTAACCAAATGGAAGACTAGCAACAGGTGCTTGTGTTCCATGTTAGTCTGCAGTGGATAATTTCTTGGCACAGAACCCTGGCTCGGGTGCCGTGCTATCATGCTGCCGTCTCCGGCTCGGCAGCTGACCTCGATGCATCAAAATACGGGTGTGTTGGATGTTGAAAGTACCTTTTGGGGTGCTTTGAAAGAGAGTTAAAAGTGAAACCGTCCATTTTGGGGGTTCCCCTAGGTAGAGACAAACCGTATCAAGTGTTTTGCGTATCTCGAAATACCATTACGCCATCCTTTCTGCAGTGCTGAACATGTTTTCAGTGCCAATCAGTTCAGCTGCCAGCCGAGCACTGCAAGCATCTATTGGGGTAAGTTTATCACACTGGACCTAGCCTGAGTGTGCAGATCGGACACATGCAACGCAGGAGCTCAAAAAAGGAACCAGTGCGGCCATGACCGATGCATCAAACAGAGTGGCCACCGTGACATGATGCACAAGGGGTTCAAAGGATGTGTTCCACGCACGACAGCTCCAAGTTGGCTCAGCCACAATGCAATGTGTGGTGAACCGTTCTTGCGAACATCAGCATGTCAGCCCTTAGATTGATCAAGTGACTAGTCCTTCCATGTGTCGGAATTGATTGAAACTGACCAGATGTGATACGCGCCAAGGAAGCACCCGCATAGGTATCGTCATGTGCGAGAGTCATGACAAAGTGTAATAAGCATGCCAGCAGTGACGACAACCTGTGAATGCCACGAGTTTGTACGTATACTCATAATATGCTTTGGATGTGCGAACCGTCCCAAGAACAAACAGACACTGAATGGGCCAGGCGTGGTTTGCCTTAGTCTGCCACATGAAGCCTGATGGATGCCACATTGGAAGACGTGGAGTGCTGTTCTTCTGACTCCGGCTGTGTGCCTGCCGGCATCTCAGAAACCTAGGCCTGTGGTGTAGAGGCTCTGACGACATGTCAGGCTTGCTCGAAAAGGCGATGTGATGGAGCCTTTTGTGACTCAGGCAAGTAAAGGTCACGAAGGTATCAAGGTCCCCCAGTGCCCTTCTACCCTTTTTACTAAAATAGACCGAAAAAAAACATAGGCACCTTATTCTAACCTCTCTGGAGGACCTATATTGGCACCCTGTGTGCACCCTTCTGAGGTTGAGAAGCCTGCGAAGCCCAAGCCGACCAAGTCTGCGAAGCCGGAGAAGAAAGAGGCGAAGGCGAAGCATGAGCGTCACTTGTCAGAGACCGCTTTCTTGATGTGCTGAGAATGCGTTCATAGCCATTGGTGCAGAGTGCTGCATTGGTGCAGAGTGGCTTTGAGGTGCTCAGAGAACGCCGGAACCTCTTCCGCCAGGGTGGTTTCGTGTGGCGTCGAAGTCCAAGCCCGGTGCGTACTACTATGCGCACCCAGCGACCAAGCGCACGCAGGCTTGGGTGATTGCCATTTCGTGCTGCACCGTCCGACTGTCCGTACCAGAATGGTTGCTCACGCGTACTGTCATCTTGGCTGGCCAGACAAACCATGAGAAAGATGCACCTGACGCCCCGAAGTGCACGTGTCCTTGTATTTTAGGTAGATAATAGATATGATCAGCTTGATTGTCATCCCTTCGCATTCTCAACCCTTGCAGTGCGAGGTGCATAGGCCAAAGCTGGAGCCTGAGGTGCGGTTTTGGCACGCCTGTGGTTGGACTGGGAAGGGGTCCGACGATGCAACTACTGTGAGTTGAATTCGATTGAATTCTACTATGACGAAGGCATACTGCTTGTTTGTCAGTGTTCAAGACATACAGTGTGGGGCATGCTGTGTAGAAGGTAACTTGCCGAAATCCACCAGCAATCGATGTGCAAGTGCATGAGCCGCAGAGAAGAATACTTGCAATATCGGTTGACCAGCTTGGGATAGGGGTGTACTGGCGACGAGAGATTCTTGTGGATTCCATGTGTATTAGTATGTTGGCTGCACGTTTCTTGCGTGTCCGTTAAGTAGTGTTTGTTGTGTGCTTGTAGTTCAAGACGTAAGTCTGAGGGGGGAAACAAGTACATGTGTGACATAGTACGGACCTTTGACAAATCGACTTGCACGAATGCAAGTGCAGAGCATAGAGCCCAGTTTTAGTATGATCCCAAGTCCAGAGCAGCCGCCAGGCACCGGAGAAAACAGAGGAGGAGATTAGACAGGACAGCTGGTGTGTGCCGAAATGGTGCCTGACTCACAGTCATTTATTTGCTGCAATCTGAGGCATCAGGTCTAGGTGCATGCTTATGTGACGGGGTTGCTGAATGTGAGCAGCTAGAGTGTTTAGCTGGCTGTGCCTCATTGGCCTTGGCATGCAGGAAATCGCTGCGGAGGAGGAAGTGATACGACACTCTTCTGCAGCATGACTTGCCATGCACTGCCCGTGTTGCGCATAGCAGGGGGCAGTGCCAGCCAAGGAAGAGCACGGGAGCGGCGCGCTGTGACAGCAGACGCCCTGCCGCGGTCGCCGCGGCACGAAGCGAACGACGCCGCGAGCGAGGAGAGTTTGAAGCCGCTGAGTGAGGGCGATAGCGATGAGCAGCACGATGAGAGTCGCAAGCCACGGAAAGCGCGGAAGGCAGCAGGCAGGAAAGCACCATACATGAGACCACGTGAGAGAATGAGTTCGGACAGGTGGCATCCAATTCACGCGGCAAGACGCAGAAGAGCCAGGCTGTGAAGAATCTGATGGATCTGAGGATTCCTGGTGGGAACATTGTGAGTGTGAATGCCACATGAGCCACAATCAAAGCCCGGGTATACTAACGTTAGTAAGGGGCAGTCGCCAGAAATAGGTGTGGCGGCCTTTCAATTTCCGGACCTAGATTTGGGTACCCCGTTCTAATACCAGGTTTTGATTGTGACTCACATTGAGACTTGACATGTTTGAGCTTGTGTGGTGTGAATGCGAGGAACTGGACCTTGATCGCCTCAAGGCCGAGTGTCTTGGCCAAAACCATCGTCAGTTTGACAATTGCGTTGATAAGAGCTGCCAAGATTGCAAAGATACGGGCTGCGAAGATTCAGTACTGCGAAGTACGAAATCCTGCGCCACTTCTTAAGCTGGTTACTCTGAGCCATCCAACTCCGGGCAAGTGGAGGGAGAGTCCTAACCAGAACTGGATGCCGCTCTCTGCCCTGATTCTTCGCATAGTTTGGAGTATACCATGTTCAGATTTGAGATGATTCCAATTTACCTTCCCCATTTGGCTTCAAAAGGAACTGGGGTTCAAGCCCGCCACCCATGCAAGCCACGTGCCGACTCATTTGAGGTTCCGTGCCGAGATGGCCCGGAAGTACGGTGAGCCCGTGGAAGCGCCGCTACAGCCGCTGGCGAAGGAAGCCTGGAAGGAGGAGCAGGAGAAGTGGCTGGCGCACCTGAAGCAAATGGACACCCGGCGATGCGTTGAATGGGGGGTCTATCAATGGATTCGCAGCCGACTTGTTTTTGTCTTTTTCTTTTGTTCGAGCAAGGGGTGGATGAAATCGAAAGATGGCGGTTCACAAAAACTGGGTGGTTCCTCAAATCTGGACCACCGATTTTCCCAGCTGCTTGGGCTTTTGGGTTGTTTTTCGAGGGCTAGCTCCTGGTTGAGTCTAAGTTGGATTTGCAATTAGCTCAAAGGATTTAACTGGGATATTATCACCCACGGCCCACTTACTATTTGGGGCCTGTGCACTTGGCGCTTCACGCAAAATCCTTGGCAGTCCCAGCTGAGTGACCAATTTTCCCAGCTGATGTGACCTTGTTGCGTTTGTTCGAGTGAGGGGTTTATGCGGTGTCCCAAAAGTTGAGAACTTTTCGCATGGGATCAACGGACCACCGAGGAAAGGAACAAGGCAGATACTCAGCCAGTGCGCGCAGAAGGTCCCAAGGAGCAAGAGAAAAAGCTCAAGAAGCAGCAGAAGAAGGACAAGAAGCAGGCGCGGATGGCCATAAACTGGTTTTCTGGGGGGCAGGGTTTGGCAGGGTTGCTAGCCTCAAAGGAATCACCAAACCATGCTTGAGGGTAGAAAATTTGAGGGGGGAGGGTTGAGAGGTCGAACTAGTTGTGACAGAACAAGGCCCCAATTGACTGCGACCAGCCCCCCTGCCAGTGGATTGAATGCTAGATGAACCACTTAATTGGTATTTCCAATCAGGGGCTGTTAGTCTGTGACGTTTGTGCTGGGTCAGCTAATAGAAGCCCACTTCGTCTACTTCTTAGACCCCGCTGGCAGCGGGCCCAATTAGGTGTCCTTCTGCTTTTGCTGCTGCAACTGGGTATTTGTAGGATCCGAACACTTGAAAGGTGTCCCTTTGGGTTTCCCTTTGAACCAAGGGAACACAGGCACCCAAAAAAGAAAAATGACCATAGGGAACCCCCAAAGTGGTTGGACATGGATCCTTAGATGGTGTCCACCACAGGGCACCTTATTAAAGTTCAGACCCAACCAAAATCGCTGTGCCTGTGAGGAGCTGAAGGAGCTGAAGAAGTCCATGACGAAGGATGTGGGGATTTGTCTGTACAGCTTTCCTGTTGTGGTGGGTTGCTTGGGTACTTGTCAACGTGTTATGGCACGTTTTCGAGTGGATCGCCTGGTTCAGCTCCGGGAAAGCAACCAGCCCCAGGTTGCTCTCCTGATTTTTGTTGATGGCAAGGAGGAAAGGAAGAAGTTCAAGAAAATCCGAAAGATGCAGAAGCTCCAAGCGAAGCTGGCCAAGGCCGAAAAGGCGCGGCTCGAGAAATGGGCGCATCCATCGCTCGGGAACGTTGCGAGTTTGTGCAGGGCTCCTTAAAAGATACACCTTGCCCATTTGAAACATGGCTTTTTCCACTAAAATAAGGAGAAACCACCATTTACAAGGCAATGTTCAGGTGTATAATGTAAGGATCCCTGTTGTGGATTTGCCAAGGTGTTGCGCATGTCGGAGAAGCTGAGGACGGGTTTGGAGCAACCTGTTACGTTGGATGACTGGAAGTGCGCTGGTGGGATTTGCTTGTTGGAATGATTGGGCAAAAGCTTCACAACTCCGAAAGGAGCAAGGGAGAGAAGGGTGCTAGCTCATCGTCAAGTTCGACATCAAGCTGAAGTGAGCGATGGACGAATTTGACTCATTAGTGGAAAAGGCGCCTGCTAATTGAGCATGAGCGATGAGATGAGCTAAATGGGTCACCACAGCTCAAAGTTTCGTTGCCCAATTTTACACTACAGTCGGAAAATAGACAATGGAAGTGGCACGAGCACTCACACAAGACTTGCACTTCCATAGGCATAATCGCCTTCATTTTTGGCGAAGATCCTAGCATACATAGCGAGAGAGTGCCCTTGGAATGGGAAGGATCCTTCGAAATTAGGCAGGCGCTCGCTTGCTGTTGGCCCGAACTCTCTCCAGCCGCGGCCATGATCATCAGGAGCCGGGGAAGGGCCCGTCGAATGGCTCAGTGGCACCGTCCAAATTGTGGGTGGGTTGCCCTGGAAATATGGCCAACCCAAAAAGGCGATCCCTTCTCCTAGCCAGGTCACTGGGAAGAGCCAACCTGATGTGCAGACATGTGGCATCAGCATCACATGAGCAATCCAAGCGCTTCTACGCCGCATGTCGGGTGCCATCCTGTGCCGGAGGCACAGGCTTCACTTCGATGGGCAAAAGAAGAAAGAGTTCGAGTTCGAGTTCCAGCTCGAGTTCCAGCTCGAGCTCAGAGAAGGTCTGAGACTGACCAAAGGGGGAGTTTCAAAGGTGCGATCAGCTGTTGAGGACAAAAAGAAAGACAAAAAAGATAAGAAAGCCAAGAAAAAGGCCCGCAGCTGTTGGACATCAGATTGTAGCAACAAAAATCCACAGGCTGTCACTGCACGCAGTCTGTTGCAGGGAAACAACAAATGCGGGCGTGCGGGCGTGGTTGTGCGAGTGTGGTTGTGTGAGTGTGTGTGTGTGTGCGCGCAAATTGAGATGGCCCGTGTCACAAGTCAACTAGGAGAAAGACAAGAAGAAGAAAAAGGATAAGAAGGATAAGAAGCGACTCAGCCAAGCAATTGGTGTGAATGTCTCGCATGCTCCAAGCTACCGCAGCGCGTCGGGTTCGTTCGTGCAAGCCAGGAAATCCAAAAAGGAGAAGACTTCAAAGAAGGAGCACAAAGAGCTTTCTCAGGTCAGAGTGCTTTGGATGTATTCCGAGCATTGCGTTTCGCAAACATCTCAGACCGCGAGCCATCCATTGTCCACAGTCGTAGCCGATGGTGGTTGCCTATTGCGGGGATGTGAGGGATATGGGCAAATATTGACGAGCAGCGGCAGCTCACCCAGTACTGGGCATTCCCTTATTTCCGGTTTAGAAAAAAGCAACGTGATGTGCTCAGACTCATTGCCAGGTGCAAGTGCTCACCAGGCCAAAGATTTCGCCGGAGGAGCGCCTGTTTACGCATGACTTGACTTGGAAGCCTAAACTGCGATTTCCTCAAAGATGTAGTTTGCAGGGTGTGCACTCGGGTTTTCAAACTACACCCGGCTTTTTGGATGACACAGCGAGGTCAATTTAGGCACATCAAGAAGCTGAGGTTTCCTTTCCGAGGTGTGCAGTTTTATCAGGCTGGCTGATTTGTAGATGGAGTCCACTGGTTTCAGTTTGGTTCGATATTTGTGAAAACCCAGAACTCACAAAGAGACATGTGAATGGACAAAATCCTGCATGCGTTGGGTTGATAAACTTCCAGTATTCATGGGGATGTATCCACCCGAACTGGTGCGAAGCGATTTTTTTTCCATCGAGGTTGCTTTGAGTCATCACCAGGTATGCGTGTCGCAATTTGCAGGGAGAATGGAGTTGAGCCAACTGTGCTTTTGCTTGATCCTGGAAGTCAAAAGCATCCAGTGTCTTGATTATTTCTGTTTGAGGGTTTTGTCCCTACTGCAAAGAGATGCGAATGTGTTTTTCAATTCCTTGTTGGCACAGTCTCTGTTGACCTTCCATCGGGGACACCGTGGTCCGCAAAGTAATGAATGTCCCTCACATTTCTTTTGATTATCTTGATAGAGGACAGTGAAGCAAAGTGAAGCGCTGCTAAGAGACCTCATATGCCTCATTGTCGAACGTTTGGATGTCGTTTGGTATGTGTCTAGACAAAATTGTGTGAGAGAAGGTAATCTTCAGTTGATTCTCTCAGTTGGTAAGACAGAGATTGAGAGATGAGTCTTCGTAGTGGTACCTGGACGTATTGCTTGCGGGTCATGGAATCAAGCGGGGCGGGAACAAACCCGGGGACTCCCTTGAAGGAACCCACAGGTTGAGGGCTCGCCCTCAACGGAGTCGCCAGGAAACCCTGAGAGCTCCCGGACCCATGGCAGCGTGAAGCCCTGAGCAACCTGCTGCTTTCAGGGTAGCGGTTGTGTGCGTACAGAGCAGGAGTGTTTAGTTTCGGGTCGCCAGTTTCGTAAGAAGGACGAACATGTGTGGTAAGAAGCAGTTTTAAGGGTCGCCAATTTCGTATCGGTTGGATAGAGTTGTGGTTGTGAAGCAGGCTCCGTAGGACGAACCCTGAGGCCAGACAAGCCTGAGCCGCGCATGGGTCAAGCCAAGGCCTGCTACGGAATGAGTGATCATTGCCCAAGCTGTAGCAGCCTTGCCTAATGAAAAAGCCTTTCTTCTTTTTCACGAAGGGAGGCAAAAAGCATGGCCGAAATGTCTGAGTGTGTCTCAAAATAAGGGGTTCGAAGCTCGTGGTTTTCCGTTTGATTTGCGTTTGATCCAACTCCAAGAAAGACTCTCCTGTGTAGCCGTTTGACTATACCCTTTTGGGGTGGTTTGCCAAACCAAAGGAATTCCGCCATTGTAATCCACAGGGATTCCCGCATGAGACAAACCCATCACCTGGCAGGCAAGATTGGAAGCGCTCAGGGCTATGCAGCAGAGGCCTGAGAAGAGTGTAGGGTACACAGTCCGCAAACCAAATTGGTGAAGGACGTGACAAGTTTGAAATGCACTCTGAATTGTCGATGCTGTTTGTTCTGTTTTTGAATATGTGATAGTGCTATTTCAAGAGATTGAATTTGTAAAGATAAATTGCATAGAGAGAGGAAATAATTGGATCATTATATATATATATAATTAAATGAAATCGAATAGATTGAATATATTATTATATATGAGAAAATAATAAGTATTAGTAAAATGAGCAGCGTCATAAACCCTGATAATACAAAGTAGCAAAGGGGGGTGTCTTGTAGAATCCCCGCGAAAGCCAAAACGCAGGCCGCGAAAGCTGGCGAAAGCTTATCGCGACAGTAACCAAAGAAGGTCCCGCCGCGAAAGACCCGCGAACGCCTGTATGCTGATGATGATACGGTGGGACGGTCCGCCGCGAAAGCGTTGCGAAAGCAATTCTAAAGAAAACGAAGCCCGCGAAAGCAAAATATGGAATTGTGAAAGCATTGCGAAAGCATCGGTGTGTTTTGTAGGATGGAGAAATTATTGGTGTGTAAAATTTTGTTTTATATAATAAATTTCATTAAATTATATAAATATAATATTGTAAATCTAATGAATGAATAATATATTATTAATAGAAATGTGTTGTGAAAGGATTGGATATTTTTGTTTAAAAACAAAATTAAATTAAATTTATGATGAATAATAGAAGGAAGAAATAATTAAATATAATTATTGTTATTTATTTAGATGATATGATATGATTTGGAAGTATTTTTTGATGTAATTTTATTTTTTTTGGATGGAATTTAATTTTGCTGAATTAGATGGAATTTAATATGTATATTGTTTTTTTCTTGATATGTATTATATTATTATTTGATTGATAGAAATTATTTGTTATCTTAGAATAATTATTTATTGGATACGTGTTTTTTGGGTTTAGGTATTATAATATTGTAGTTATGAAAGAATAAATATTTAAGCAAATAAAATTATTAATTGATTATTGAATTGAATAGTTATTTTATTTATTAGGGACGATTTTATATATTTTATGAAAAACATAAATAAAATATATATTAATATTAATATATTTAATTTATATTATATTTTTATTATATTTTGTGAATAAATATTTTATATAATTATAATATATGAATTTATATAATACTTATTATAATATAATTTAAATTTAAGGATTTGTTTAATAACTATTTTTGGTGAAATAATATGATATAAGAAAATTATGAATTTTAATTTAAATAGAAATATTATTATATATTAAATTATAATATATATTTTTAAATAGATATAAACTTATGAATAGGGGATAGGATGCGGGAACATTTATGTCTATAATATATAAAATTTATAAAATATATATGATTATTAATTTTAATAATATGATTGTTCTTTTAATATGCTATACTAAAAATATTTAATCTAATCATTATACAAAAGTATTGTATTTATTGCGAAATAATATTCGAATTTAGAGAAGTAATTTATTTATTATAAAATTTAAATATATAAATATAATTATAATATTTAATTAATGAATGAAGTAATATAATAAAATTATATAATCTGAGAAAATAAAATATTTGAAAATATATTTTTTATTATTTATTTATTTTTGTTTATAACTATATTTTTCTTTGTTGGATTTTTTTTTATGATCATAATATCAAGGTTTTTATTAATTACTATAAATTAATATAATAAAAAAATATAAAAATAGAATAAATAATAGTATTATAAAATCTAAATTTCATTTTGTAAAAAAATATATCTGCCAAAACTAAAATATTCTTAATTTTACTAAAATACGATTCGCATTTGAATTTGCGAAAATAATACATCCACCACGAAATTTATGTCTAATTGTATTTTTTGTGAAAAAGAGAGAGAGAGAGAAAGAGAGAGAGAAAAAAAAAGAAAAAACGAGAGAAAGAAAGAAAGAGAGAGAAAAAAAAGAAAGAGAGAAAAAAAAAAGAAAAAGAAGGAGAAAGAGAAAGAGAGAAAGAAAGAAACAAACAACCAAACAAAAACAATAATAAAAATAATTGCAATAATAAAAATAACTAAACATAAAAAATAAAGAAGAAAGCAGAACTTCAAAGGGAGATGTAGCACGCGGCAACACGAAAGTGTGTCTCTTTGTAAACCGATCCGCAGAAATAAATATAGACAGGCCAAACAACAATAAATAAAGATAAATATAAACAAACATTACCTAATAAACAAACACGGGCACGTAGAAATAAACAGAGAGATACAAAATAACCAAAAAATAGAGAGGAACGACAAACATAAACACATAGAGACAAACAAAGACAAACCAAGACAACCCGACAAATAGAGAGACACAGACAACAAAAAAAAGAAACAGAGAAGCGCAAACACCAAAAAGAAACAAATTGGGACAGAGAAATACAGAGATTACGAAATAGATAAATACGAACACACGGAAACAGATTAAAAGACACAAATAGAGGCAAAAATACGGAGACACGGCACGAAATTTTTGAGAAATTTCGATTCGGATAAGTTCCAAAATTTCCTCGAAATTTAGCCCGGTAATTTTTTCGGAAAGCCGCCAAAATCTGAAGAAATTTGCGGGGTAACGTCCGGAAATCTAAGAGCTATATCGCCGGAAACGACCCAAAATTCGAAAAAAATTAACCGGATTACGCCGCGGGAACTCTAAGTGCCGCGGAAAAAAAAAAAAAAAACCGAGGCAAACACAACCGCTCGCCACAAACACTACAATTCGGCCAACATACCGCTACAACGGCTTTCCGGCGTACGAGAAATGCGATCTCGAGGCCCTACCGAATTATAAAAAGAAAAAACAAAATAATATATACAAATATTTAAATACAAATAATATATAAAAATATATATATATATATAAATAATATAACTATCTATAAACAATAATTTATATCTATCATATATTTCTTTAATATTTATATCAATAAATTTAAAATATATCTATATTAATACTTCAAAATATTCCTTAATTACTCAATAATATTATTTATATTTTAAAACAAAACATATTATACCTCCCATACAAAATTAAATTTAAAACAAAAATATATATATATATATATTAGAGATTAATTCCATCAACGACAATACCAACAAAATAAAAAGAAAAAACATAAAACAAAAAAAAGAAAAAACAACAACAAAATAAAAATAATAAATAAATAAAAATTAAAAGAACAAAAAGAAAAACGAGAAATTGTGTTTCTCTTTCTTTCTCTCAAACAAAAAAGAAAAAAACATCTCTCTTTCTCTCTCTTTCTTTCTTTCATCTTTTTTTTGTTTTTGTTTCTCTCTTTTTCTCTCTTTTTTTTTATTAAAGAAAGAGAAAAAGAAAAAAGAAAAAGAGAGAAAGAGATAAAAAAACAAATAATCAAGCAAGAACAATAATAGTAAAAATAATCAAAATAAAAAAACATAACATAAAAAAAAGAAAGCGAAACCTAAAAAAAAGAAATAGAATATGCGGCAATGCAAAAATGTGACATCTTTATAAATCGACCCGTAAAAACAAATATAAACAAACAAACAAAAATCAAAAAAACAATAAATATAAAAAAACGCCAAAAAATAAAGACGAACGACAAACACGAACACATAAAAACAAACAAAAACCAACCAAAACAACCCGAGAAACAGAAAGACACAGACAAACAAATAGAAACACAAAAACACAAACACCAAAAAAAAACAAATTAAAATACACAGAGATACACAAAGCTAAACAAAGAAAAACAAAGGTTACGAAATAACTAGATATCGTGTAACCCGGCAAAATTTAGCGACCTTCCAAAACAAATACCGGGCCAAATTTCGGGGAAATTTAAGGACCTATCCAAATCGAAATTTCTCGAAAATTTCGTGCGAGGTGTCTCCGTATCTTTGTCTCTTTCTATATCTCCCAATCTATTACTCTAAGCGAAATTATTAAAAACCCCCCCGAAATTTCGGACCCTCACGGGCCGCGCAAAGAGGCAGAAGCTTGTGCCGCGGAGAAAAGACCGGCACAAGCACAGCTACTCGCCGCAAGCACTATAATTCGGCCGGAATACCGCTATAACGGCTTGCCGATGCTCGAGGCTATACCGATTTATAAAAAAACAAATATAGCATAACATATATATATATCTCTAAATTAATAACCTCCGTCTATATCCACTCCGAATCCATTTCGACCCCATTTGTTCCAACTACTAAATATAATATAAAGGGCATGACATTGTAAGTGTTCATCATATATTGAGTATATGAGATTTTCAATACTATTAGAAACAACAAGGAATGTTGTTGGTGATCTCAATTTAAGAAATTCAGATTTTCCATTGAATTTGATTTCCCGATGCGTTATCCGGGTAGCCCCTTTTTTACAAGGACTCAAGCGTGGCAAAAGAGCTGCGCCAACAAGGGTTATGAGCCCAACATGTTGATCGCTCGGTAGCCATGGACGCTGGGATGCGGAGGCGAAGGGCGAGGTCGGTGGATGCGGTGACCATGGAGGGTACCATGGTGGCGGAAGCCGACGGTGACCTACCTCTTCATGAAGAAGAACGAGGTGGAGAACCGCAGCAAGAGCGAGGTCAGCGGCAGGTGGTGGATGTAAATCCTTTCTGGAGTTCACGGGCGGTGGAGGCCGCAAGGCTGCGAGCAATGAGGCCCGATGGTTTGCCCAAGGTCCCGGACACCGTGAGCCCCCAGAAGGTCGAGACGGAGATGGACGCTTGGGGAGGTGCCGGTGGCGCTCCTGAGGGAGATCTTCCCGGGCAAGATGGAGTTGGTGGCCACCCAGATGCTGCTGGCAGTAGGACGAAAACAGAAGAGTTCTGGAGCGAGATAAGGAGGGACCTGACAGCGGACCTGGAGAATGCGGAAAATGCCGGAATGGCCAACGGCGATGAGCATGGTCTGCAGGAAGAAGGTCGACGTCCAGGTAATGGGCAGGAACAAGGCGGAGATGGAGCTCTACTACATGGGAATGGAA